GTATTAAGCATTACTTGTAGGCCCAGTACAGTGGTGATGTAGTCCTTCAGTTTTTACATCTCTGGGAAGGACTTTATTTTTCCTTCATTTATGTCCATTTATGAAGAGTAATTTTGCTGGGTATAGTGTTCTTGGCCCCTAGGGTTTTTTCTTTTTCTATCAGCTCTTCAAATATATCATTTCATTGTCTCCTGGCATTAAGATTCTGTGGAGAAATCCACTGTTAGTCTGATGGGGATTTCTTTATATGTGACTAAATGCTTTCCTTTTGCTATGAAATTATTTTTCTCTTGCTGTAAATTGTTTTTTGTTTTTAGAATTATGTCTTTGTCTTTGACTTTCAGTAGCTTGACTACAATGTGCTGTGGAGAAGATCTTTTGGGGTTGTATCTATTTGGTAATCTCTAAGCTTCCTGTATTAGAATGTCTAAGAATGTCTAAATCTCTTGCTAGACTTGGAGAGTTTTCAACTATTTTTTCATTAAATAGGTTTTTTGTACCTTTGGTCTTCTCTTTACCTTCTCTAACACCCAACATTTGGCTATTTGACTGCTTTATCATGTGCCATATGTTATATACACTTTGTTTATTTATTTATTTTTTTACACTTACACTACCAATTTTCTTTACGGAACTAGCTAAGCTAAATAATTTAAGTCCCAGCTTTAAACATAACTTTCTCTAGGAAACCGACCCTAAACTTGTGTATTACATTAGAGTCCTCTCTTTATATCCTTTTGAATTCTTTTTTTTTCTTCTGACTGGGTTATTTCAAAAGATCTGTTTTCAAGTTCTGAAATTCTTTCTTCTGCTTGATCTATTGTTGAAACACTCAAATGTATTTTTTAGTTAATTCATTGAATTATTCATTTCCAGGATTTCTGTTTTTTTTTTTTTTTCAGTGATATCTATCTGGTGAGTTTCTCATTCACATACTTGTTTTTCTGATTTCATTATATTGTTTATCTGTGTTCTTTTGCATTTCACTGAAATTAGTATTTTTGAATTCTTTTTTCAGTAGCTCATAAACTTCTTTTTCATTGGAGTCCATTGGTACCGTATTTCCTTGCTTTTTGTATCTTTAGATTGCTATCTGTGTTTGTGGTGTAACAGTTACTTCTTCCAAATTTTTTGATTAGTTTTGGTATAAGACTTTTTCTTGAAGATATATTTATGGTATTGGTTGGGTAGGGTACTTTAGCTTTGATTCTGGGTGCATGCAGTAGTGTAGTTGCCATATGATTTATTTGACTGTTAGCAGTGTCAGTCATGTCTGTGATTTCCTCAGTGGCTTGGGCTGTGGTTATTAATGGAGGCTGTGGTAAGGTTTTTACCAGTGATGGGGATGCAAGGCCATCCAGTGCCCAGTGCTGGCAGTGGCAGGCCAAGTATGCCTGCCCTTGGGCAGTGTATGTGGACAATTGTGTTAGTGGGTCCAAACAGGCCACTTCTTGGACCTTGAGGAGGCTTGTCAGGTGCTGGCAGTAGCAGCAGTGGGCTGGGTAGGTGAACAGGTCCTCAGTTCCCTGGATAGCATGTGTGGCATGGGCAATGGTGGTAGTGGTAGTGGGAAAACCCTTGAACTCTGAAGTGCCACATGTTGGTGCTAGCAGTGGCTGTGATAGGCTGGACAGGCTAATCCCCAGTCTCAAGTGGTGCATGTGGGGGAGGTGCCAGTTGTGGTGGTAGAGGCAACCTGGGAGGTTTCATCCTTAGGCCCCTGGAAGAAGTGCACAGATGCCAGCAGTGGCGGATGGGGCAGGGTGATACCCTAGCCCCAAGGCAGTATGCTTGGGCATGGGGTGGTGAGGTGCCAGGTTTGGCAGGCCTGTCTTTAGGCACTAGCTGTGATAGGCAGGGCAGGGTGATTCCCCAGGCACCTAGCGCAGTGCTCAGGGGGCAGTAGCAGCAGCAGCGGTAGTGATGGGCAAGGGGAACCTGTCCTCAGGGTGTGTATATGCATAGTACACTGAATAGACTAGATTGCTGGAGACCCTGCTGCTTTGCTGGGCCCAACCAGTTTCGTGCTCCTACAGCCCTCTGGGTGGATGTGGGTGATGTCAGTGGGCCTCCAGGAAAAGATACAGTCTGGTGGGGGCTGGGCTCTCAATATTATCCCATGCTGTAGGTGTGTCAGTTCCCTCCCTGGAGAAATGCTGTTTTGTGGCCTCAGGCAGCTCTCTATGCTAGTCTCAGGGCCTGTGAGGACTGAGGAGCACTCCCATGGCTAGAGTTTCTGGAGTCTGTGTTGGGAATGTGGGCCACTGGGATTACTCATTTACCCTTTCGCCACACTGGGGAGACTTTTCAAACTCCTAACAGGTCCTGGCAAAGTCAGCTCTCTCACTTGCCTCTCCTCCCATGCCTCAGTTGTTTCTTGTCACTTCTCTGTTGAATTCCAGTATTGTCTTAGATGTCCTGTTCTAAGCATGATTATCTACTTGCTATTTTGCTTCTTCTTTGTAGAGGAGGCAAGTGCCAGATGGGGTTTTCCCTTTGAAATAGTAGCAAAGAAGCCAGGCTCGGTGGCTCAGCCTGTAATCCCGCGCCTTTGGGAGGCTGAGGTGAGTGGATTGCCTGAGCCCGCGGGTTCAAGACCCGCCTGGGCAACTTGGCGAGACCTCATCTCTACAATAAATCAAAAATCAGCCGGGCATGGTAGCGCACGCCTGTAATTCCGGCTACTTGGAAGGCTGAGGTGGAAGGATCGCCGGAGCCCAGTGGGTCGAGGCTGTGGTGGCAGGGAGCGGCCACTGCACTCCAGTCTGGGCGACAGAGTGAAAAAAAAAAGAAATAGTTGCAAACAAGACTAAAATTGCATTCAGGAACTATCCCATCAATTGCAGCCAGGATCCAGGATCACACAGTAGCAAGAATCATATAGCTGGGAGAAGGGAGCAAGGGGTATACTGATTTGAAAATCAACATTGCTAGTTAGTGATTTATTTTTTTGAGAATCACTTATTTTTGGTGTACTGCTAGGCAGTTTTGCAACCTTTTCACATGTCTATCTTTTTTCCATTTTTCTACACTTTTGCTTTTCAAATTTGCTTTGTAAATTTTTAAATGTTTGCTTAAAAAATTTAAAGTCAGTTTAGTTTACCTCTGGTCTGCTTAGAATAGCAAAAGTTGGAGAAATCTTAATATATAATAAGAAATTACTACAAAAAGCTAACTATGTAGAAAACACATTTTAGAAACACAAATGTTTAATATATTGTAAAAACACAAGTGACCAGTAGGATTATTTCACAATTTCTTTTATTATCCAAAATTTTTCCTTAGGAAAATAATCTAACTTATAGAATTCAGTCAAAAATAGACAACTAAATTATGGAATATCAGAAACCATAAGCAGACAAATACAAAATTTCTAGCCTGGTCACCCTCACTCTGACACCCCCCAACCCCAGTCTCACCCTTCTAACATGGACAGAGCCACTGGCTCCCACAGCCCCAATGGCTCAGGAGTCAGCAAGGTAAAATCCTTCCTTTGCCCCACTCCCAATGGTTGCTGCTTAAAGACAGGTTGGAAACTGGGCCTGCCTTTGGGAAAACTCCCCTCCCTTCAGCTATCAGGCATAAAGGCGCTGGCATCTGGAAGGTGGCACCATCTCAGGCGATTGGGATAGAGCTGGAGAGGGTTGAGTTTAGCAATGAAGTAAGGCATTCAAAGGAAGTGACAGGAAATAGGAAGTTTTGATAAAAGTGGGAGTAGAATAAAGCTGTGACTGTCCCTTTGTGTGGCCTTAGGCAGGTCCCTTCCTCTTTCTGGGCCTGTTTTTCCATCCATGCAAGAGCAAATTAGGTTGGATCACCTCTGGGGTCCCCGTTAGCTCTGAATGGCTTTGATTCTGAGAGTTGGAGATGCCAAAAAAAGAGCTTACCGGACATTTACTCACTTTACTGTACAGTAAGCTTTCACAGTACTAAAGGAAATGGAATGTAACAGAACTTTTCATTCCACAAGACTCAATATATTTAACACCTTCATTTCATAGTATTTTTTGGTATAGTCATTTTGTTTAAAAAACTTCTGTGATACAGATGCACATGGTAAATTATAAAACGAAGTTTAATCTTCTAAACTCCCAAACAATATGGTAGTGTAGCATGAACCCACATGAAACATAAAATTTTCAAAATCCCCAAATTGCAAATAATAGCTAGCCTTTACATATTACATGCCAAGTTGTTTTAAGTACTTTACATATATTATCATAATATGTCATAACCACGCTATGAAGAAAGTGGAATAGTACAGATATTTACAGATGAAGAAACTGAAGTGTAGGGGTTAATTTACCCAAGGTCACATAGGTTGTTAGGCTCTAGAGTATGTGCTCTTTGAGGTTATTTTTTATTTTTTGAGTTGGAGCCTCACTCTATCACCCAGAGTGGAGTGCAATGGCACACTCATGACCACCCCAGCGTCGTAGCTGGAACTACAGGTGCCAACTATCACGCCCAGCTCATTTTTTGATTTACTGTAGAGACGAGGTCTTGCCAAGTTGCCCGGGCTGGTCTTGAACCTGTGGGCTCATGCAATCCACCCACCTCGGCCTCCCAAAGTGCTGGAATTACAGGCTAAGCCACCGAGTCTGGCCCTCTTTGAGTTTATTAACATGGAGGTTTCAGCTAGTGATCTTTGCTATTTTGCAAAAATGAATTTAGCTTTAAAGGCATGTCGAAAATGCATCTAGTTTGGCAGGTAGGCAAAGGGTCAAGGAAAGCTTCACTGTAGTGGCATTTGAGCCAGGCCTTGAAGAATAAAAACCATTAGTGTCCTGTATTCAGCTTAGTTAAGACAATAAAAATATTAACACAACTGAAGACCAAGATGACATTAAGAAACACACTCTAAACAAGATGCACACCACACGTGACAATACTCCTGATTCATTTCAATATCCAATTTGTTTTAGTTTTGACTTCAGATTTGGCTGTTATATCTATATTCTCCTAACAATACCAAAATAGAACCTGGAGACCCGAAAAAATTTTTTTGTGTATTTTTCCATGATCAATATCTTTTATTGTCATGTCTTGGTGTGCAGAAATACAATAAATAATCCTTGTAAAAAAAAAAAAATACAATGCACTTTTGCTATGGGTTTACGCAAAGGTATAACTAACAACATTTTCCTAATAGATGACTGTGAACGCTTTTGGTGGACTGATTCTGGAACTATAGTACCCCTGTCCTCATTATGCCATGAAGCCAAATAAACCAACTTTGATAATGATACGCTTAAACTACCAATTAAGGTACAATATCATTCAAAATTTATAGGAAGAAGAACAATAATCCAGAGAAAGTATAACAAAATATTCTGAACATGAAACTGTGCATTTATAACTTAGCACTGGTAAGACTCAGAATGATTGCAGCGTAAAAGATACTGTTTTTCTGAAAAAGCAGACAGGGAGGTGTGGCGGATGGGAAGGTGGCTCAGATTCAAGACTAAAGTTTATTTTTTAAAAAAATCTCTTCTGCAGTAGTTTCTAGTTTCTTTTTTGGTTTCAAAACTGAGTCTACAATCCATAAAAATGACATTAATGAATTGTAGCATAAAGATCTTAAACAGAATGTGATTATGCCAGCAGTTTGGTGACATACTGAAAGAGCTGTTCTGTAAATGCTTCAGGGGAAAACTTCTCCTTCACCCTGGCTCTTCCAGCCAGGCCCATTGTGGCTTTTAAGGAAGGTTCATGGATGAACTTTTCTATTGCTTCTGAGAAGTGCACTGGGTCAGGTTCACATAGAAACCCTGTGACGCTGTGGACGATGGACTCCAGAGGCCCACCGGAATTAACAGCAATGACTGGACACTGCATGTACATGGCCTCCAGAGGGACGATGCCAAAGTGCTCATTGCTCGGTGTGTAAAGCACACACGTGCAGCCATGGAGGAGGGAGATTTTTTGTTTGTCTGAGAAAGACCTCAAGAAGGTCACATGCTGGCCAAGTTCAGACTGCTGGACCATTTTCTTCAATTCCTGATAGTGTTCTACATTCTCTTGGACTCTCTCATCATAACCACCTGCCACGATCAGATGAACCTTCTCCCAATCCTGAGATGTCAATCTTCCACGCAGTTGTACTAGAGCTTCCAGTGACAAAGTCAGATTTTTCTTCCTTTCGTATCTGTTGATAGAGAGGAACAGGAATTTTTTCCCTTTGGGGACTATGTCATCAAGATTTTCGGGAACAGCTGAGTCGAAGCTGGTGACATTCAGAGATGGGTAGAGGACATAAGGATCTATATGAGACAAAGACTTGAATGTTTCCTTAAAAACAGCAGCTGTGAACTGGCTGTTGACCAAGATGCAGTCTGCCATTCCTGTGGTGTATTCCTCTACCCAGTCAATTGGGGCCCTGTATAGCCACTTAAGAAAAGAATCTCTCTTGGTGAGGAGCAGATCTGGGAAGTGACAGTAAAACAGGATCTTCTTAGGCCGTCTGGCCAGCCTAAACACTGGGATACAGGCAGACACCTAGCCAAAGCAAAAATGAACAGCAGATTAAGTGACTGGACAACTCAACTCAATCCAACTGAAAGCAGAGACATCCACCCTGCTTGCTAGTCTATGGGTTCCTCATGGGTGATGTCCAGGACTCTCACCCAGTACAATGCCTGGTGTATAGAAGACTAGTAGATGTTGCTAGATAAGTGCTAAACATTTAAAGTTTCAAGTCCAGTGGTTTCCTCTTGAATAGTGCTGTCCAACAGAAAGAAAACTCTAGTAAATTAAAAATGTCTTTAAGGATGAAATTAATTTAAATATATTTATCCAAAACATTACCATTTCAAAATGTAATCAATGCCACAAAATGTTAATCAGCTACTTTATAAATTTTTCACACTAAATCTTTAAAATCAGGTTTGTGCATCAGCACACTTCAGCACAGTCTAGTTGAATTTCACATGCTCAACAGGCATATACGGCTAGTGGCTACCATACAGGACAGTATACATCTAGGATCTTCCTTCTCCTAAGGAACTGAATGAATGAACTATAGTACTTTAAAGCACATGCAATGGAGTCAAGATTGCCAGGGTTTGAATCTCAGCTCTACTAACTATGTAGCCATGATCCAGTAATTTACCTACTCTGGTTCTCAGTTTCCTCTTCTATAACACAGGGACAATTATAGTTCAAAAAGGCTCATATAATTTTTGTGATTATTAAGTATACTGATACATGTAAAATGCTTGGAGTTTGGCATATGGTATGTGCTCAACAAATACTAATCATAGACATAATTGAGTATGAACTACATGCTAGCATTTCTATAGACATTTTTGTTGGGAAATCTTTACAAGTCATTTAATTACCTGCTCATTTAATATGTGAAGAAGCTTTAGGGATAATGTGCAATTTGTTCAAAGTATTTTAGTTAAAGCAGCAGATATGGAACTTGAATTCAGGTTGCCTATTTCCAAGCCCAGAATTTTTTCTCTACCCACTACTGTCCCAACTGCCTTGTGTTTACTGACAGACACAAGCAGGATGTTTGGTAAATGTCCACGTTACTTAAAAAGAAAACTTCCAGGCATGCAAGAATGATCAAAAGTAACTCAGCAGTCATAATTAAGGAAATATAGATCCAAGTGTGATATCATTTCCACCTATAAGTCTGACAAAGGTTAAAATGATTGATAATATCAGATGTGGACAAGAGCATAGACTACCAGGCTCTATCACACATTGTAGTAGAATGACAGAACGTCTTTGGTAGGCAAATCTAGCAATAGCTATTAAAATTTAAAACGAACAACTCTTTGACCGACCAACTTCAGGAATTTACTCAAAGAACATGCTTGCAGAAGTAAACAAAAAGTACAAGGATGTTCATGACAACACTGATCTACTCATACAAAACTGGTCACGTTAGTGTCCTTTAAGAAGAATGCTTAAATCATGGTACACTACAAAAAATAAAGTGAATCTCCAATAGTGATATATAAGGATATCCCAAGCAGAAAGTTTTGCTGGAAAAATCAAGATACCAGAAGTAGATATGTCATAATCTCAGTTATGTACAAAAAAGAAGATATAACTATAAAAAGACACACATATGCTGGTGTAGCCACAGAATTTTTGGAAGGAAGGACACAGTTAAAACTGTTAACAGTGGCTATTTTCAGGGAGTGGAATGTGATGGCACTTTTACATGACACTCTTTTACACTACTGAATTTTTAGTCAAGTAAATGTTACTTTTTATAATAATCTTTTTTAAGGTTGGGAAATGTAAGAAAGCGTCTAGACTAGCTACAGGACAGATGCAGGTGGACATTATTTACCAAGGTAAAAAATTTGGACTTGTTTCCCCAAAGACCAATGGGGAGCTACGTTAAAGTTTCAATAGGGGGCACGACATATTCACCTTGGCATTTTTAACAGATGACACTGCTCAGGATAGGGGTGGCCTGGCTGTGAAGACAACCAGCAGAGTGGGATGCATGTGGCCTGAAAGTGAAGTCAACAAAAATAACGGGTCGGAGAGAAGACAAAACGTGAGTTACTCAGAAGTCAAAGGTGATCGAAGCTTCGAATGCCAGCGTTTCTTAGAGCGACCCCCAAGGCATATTTGCACGAAAAGCACCCAGTTAAAATGCAGATTTCTGGGCCCCACCACCGGGCTCCAGAATGAAAACTTCCTGGAGCGTGGGGCTCTGCAACCTTCAACTCTGATGGGTTCGCACTCAAGTTGGAGAACCACAGGCTCGCTCCCAGCTCCGAATTCTCCAGGTCAGGTCCGTCCACTCTATCGGATGGCAGCTAGGAGAGGTCTGTCCTCCCTCAGAGCTCACGCCTGGGGCGCGCCCTTCACAGGGAGGTCCGCCCTGGCGCCGCAACCCCGAGCCCCTCACCTGGTCGCACACCACCACGTCGAACTCCTCATCGGCGAGGAACAGCACGTACAGCGCCAGGAAGACCATGCGCACGTAGGCGCAGACGGCGGTGCCGCGTCCCCCCCAGCCCAGGCAGCGCGGCAGCCAGTCACCAGCGCAGCGCACCGGCAGCTCGAGGCTCTCGGCGAAGCAGTGGCCTGGGTCATAGTGAGCTGTCCAGATCTTCACGCTGCACCCGCGCGCCTGCAGCGCCAGCGCTGCGTCCAGCACCAGCCGCTCGGCGCCGCCCACGCCCAGGTCCGGGTGTAGAAACAGCACCGATGGGCTGGGAACCGAGTCCCGGCCCCGGCCCCGGCCCTGTTTGTCCGCCATGGTCCGGGAACCGCGCCAGTGCCGCACGACCGGAGGGGGCCTTCCGCACAAGCTCCGCCCCCAGGCTCCCGGCGGGCCACTGCGGGCCGACCCCGCCCCACCGTGCCTGCGACCGTTAGGCCACCTCAGCGCAAATTTGGGGCGCCTAGTTACTGCCGGAGAGCATTTCTCGTCTGACTCTGGCTATAGCCTCTCTTTGGCAGGGACTGGGTTCTGTGAAGGCCGTTGCAGTAGCATGGAAGGAGACGGGAGGGTTGTACGTCCACACAGCAGCTAACCAAGTCGCCTGAAGCAGAATGTCTACAGGCATATCAAGAGACAGCCCAGGCGTCCCTGGAGTCGGCGAGGACCCCGCTCGCCGGTCTGAGGGCGGGGCCTGAACCAGTCTCTCCAGCCGCCGGTCCTACTGCGGCGCCTTAACTTTCCGTCCGTCGGCTTTAACTCCCTGCCGCCCTCCAGTCTCCAGCATGGTATGGTACCCCCGGCCTCCTCTCCTTGGTCCTTGCCTCTTCCAGGCGCCTCGACTCTTGCTTTCCGCCATACCGTTCCTCGGTGGCTTCCTTGCCTTCCCCAGCCTCCCGTGCGGGTTCCGGTCTCCGCCGCCGAGGCCTGGCGTCCGGGGAAGGCCCGCCCCGCTCAAGCGTCTGTCTGTCGTCTCTCTCTCCACAGCCTGGTCCGACCCCCAGTGGCACTAACGTGGGTTCCTCAGGGCGCTCTCCCAGCAAAGCAGTCGCCGCCCGGGCGGCAGGATCCACTGTCCGGCAGAGGTAAGGATCCCTGCAGCCTGTCAGTTGCGGACTCGGAGATGGGGCCCAAGAATTCGCCGGTTCTGGGGAGGTGACCCCAGTGTTCGGATTCACAACAGCAAAACGAGCTTCAGGTGACGTGGCGGTGGGAGTAGACCTTGGGGAGGGAGGTGACATGTTCTCTTTGTTGCTTTCTTTTTCTTCTTAAGGAAAGTTAACAAGCTGGAATAGGGTCAGAGATGCTTTTGAGAAAACCGATGTCGTTAAACGAGTGTCTCTGGTCCTGAGCTTTGCGCTTACATTGCATCTGGAAGCCCCATACACAATCTAACTTAACTTGTCCGACACAAAACTCAGTCTCTCCTTTCACCCCAGCTCTCCTGCCCCCCAGTTATATCTTCTGACTTCCACATGAAACTGCTGTACATTCGTTTAACCAAAGCCAGAAGCTTCAGCGTCTTCTTGGGGCTTTTTCATATGGTCTCTCCCTGTCCACTCATATGCCAGACTTTAAATTTAGCATGAAAACCTTCTTATCAGTTCTTTCCTTCTCCATTTCTACTGCCCCAGTTTAGCTTTCTCATCTATTTCCTTCATTTGCTACCTAACTCTTCTCTCCAGGCCATTTCCATTCCAATCCATCTTCCATTCTGCTGTTACTCTGCGGCCTAATTTCTCTGTTACTTGCTTGTTGCAGAACTTTACTAAAGGGGAGGAGATACCATGGGTGTTGGTAGTCTTTTCAGCCTAACATCTTCCTTTACTCTCTCCTGTGATCTAGCCGCAGTGAACTTATTGCTGTTTTCCAAACTCATTTTGTCCCTCCCAAGGCAAACTTCCGTTTATTTTCTAAGACCAAACTCAAGAGTTATTTCATCTGTAGGTCTGTCTGACTCCGCAAGCAGCTGTAACTGTTAGTTTTCCTTTTGGGTTCCATAGAATTTTGTGCATATCGCTGTAAGCGCATTTATGTTTCCATATTTATTCCTTTGTTAGACTTTAACAGAGAACCTGCCCAAGTCACTTCTATCCCCAGCATAACACAATAAATGATGACTGAGTGAGGGAATCAAGCAACCCTGTCTTCTTGGGATTTTTTTTTTCTTTCTTTTTTTTTTTTTGAGTCAGAGTCTCACCCTGTTGCCCAGACTGGAGTGCAGTGGCATGCTCACGGCCACTGCAGCCTCGACCAGCTGTGCTCGAGTGATCCTTCCACCTCAGCTTTCCAAGTAACTGGAAGTACAGGCATGTGCCATGACACCTGGCTAATTTTTAAAAAAAATTTATTGTAGAGATGAGGTCTCACCAAGTTGCCTGGTCATGAACATGTGGGCTCAGGCAATCCTCTCACCTTGACCTCCCAAAGTGCTGGGTTTATAGGCATGAGCCACCACACCCAGCTTTTGGAATTTTTGAAGGAAGTAGTGGGGTGTTATCTAGAGAGGAAAAGACCTTGAAAGAATGAAGCCTCTTCTTAAGCATGTGAAGAGAGATAAGATTTTTCTTGTTGGCTACAATAGGTAAATCTAAAACTGATAGTTTTTGAACTTAAACACTTCAGCTCAGTGCAAAGAAATTCTAATAAAACGAGCAGAAATGGTAAGATTGTCCTGAGTGATTGTGAGTTTCCTGTCACTGAGATGTTCAAGAGAAGTATATCAGCTTGGTTTAGGTTATATGGGTTTGGTGTGCTGTCTCATTCGCACCCTGAATTTCAGAGATTCTTTGTGTAGGAATGGAAAACATGTCCTGTGGATACAATTCCTTGGGGAATGGGTCTGGTTAATGAGAATTGGTAGTACGGTGATAGGAATGTTTGGCCAGCTGAGATTTTTTAAAGAAAAGAAGAAAGAGCACATAGTTACCAAATGTAAATATAGTAATGAGATGACATTTAATAATAAGGACAAAATAACTGATAACATTAGTGAAATTCAAACATTTGAGGACAAATACAGTTTTGTTTATTTTTTTTGAGTTGGAGTCTCACTTGGTCGCCCAGTCTGGAGTGCAGTGGCCGCTTCCGGCCACCGCAGCCTCGCCTCCTGGGCTCCAGCAATCCTTCCGCCTCAGCCTTCTACCTCAGCCTGCTACCACGCCTGGCTGATTTTTTGATTTATTGTAGAGATGAGGTCTCGCTGCTAGGCGGGTCTCGAACCCGCGGGCTCAGGCAATCCACTCACCTCAGCCTCCCAAAGGTGCGGGATTACAGGCTGAGCCACTGAGCCCGGCTGACAAATAGTTTTTAAGAAAAGCTGTGGGGGCTGGGCATGGTGGCTCAACCTGTAATACCAGCACTGTGGGAGGCTGAGACAAGAGGATTGCCTGAGTCTGGGGGTTCAAGACCAGCCTAGGCAACTTGATGAGACCTCGTCTCTACAGTAAATCAAAAAATAAGCTGGGCATGGTAGCGTGCACCTGTAGTTCCAGCTACTTGGAAGACTGAGGTGAAAGGATTGCCTAAGCCCAGCAGGTTGAGGCTGCGGTGGCCGTGAGCATGCCACTGCACTCCAGCCTGGCCACTGCACTCCAGAGTGAGACTCCAACTCAAAAAAAAAAAAAAAGAAAGAAAAGTGGATGTTGATGTCATCTGTTAGGATTCAGTATCATGGAGCCAGCGTAACTAGAAAGGCCACGATTTATGTACTGAGAGAACTGACAGTGTTTCCTTCTAGAATGTTGGCAATAGTTAAGGATTATTTTATGGATGTAATGTGATAAGTATTGGTACTGTTTCTCTGTAATTTTTGAGAAAACGGTAGAAGCTAATGGCTAATAATACTGCTTGAATTATGTAACCTGTACATTTTCATTTTCCATGCTCAAGGAGGTAATAGAATTAGTACCTTGGAGAAGAAATGGTATGGGATTTAAGGTCAGGCTGAGGTTGGAGTAGGTACTCTGTTAAATATAATGCAAAAAGGAACTTGCTATGAGGATGAAAAGAAGCAATAATGCTTTGCAAACAGAAAAGCTGTGGATTGCTACATAGTGTTCTAACAGGAGTAATAGAATACAGGGATGTTAACATGGTGGAATAGCCAGGGATGTTAAGATAGTTGTCAAATAGTTATTGAAGTTCTGCTATATGCCAAGTGCTGTTGCCGCTCCAAAGATAATTCTGTGAACAAGATACGCAGGGTTTGTGCTCTTGAACCTTTTATTCCAGTTTGGGAGACCATAGCGAGGCCAGTAAGTAAATAATAAAATTTCAGCAATAAGGGCTGTGAAGAAAAATAAAGCTGGGTGGGAGATAGAGAATGGTGAGGATAGAGTGAGTATAGGTCGTTGTTTTAGATAGGGTGTTCAGAGTAGGTGCCATTTGAGTAGAGACTTTAAAGAAATAAGGGGCAAATCACGCAATGGTCTGGGGAGGAATAGGGTTCCTAGGTAAAATAAATAAGTTAAGTATAAAGATAGTGAGGTCAATGAGCTTGGCTTTGAGGAACAACCAGAGGTCATCATGTTGGAACAAAATGCATAAATGGTTAGTTATGAAAACCATTGTGTTCAGTACAGGAAGAGGGAGGCTGTTATAGAGTGGCCAGAAAGCGAGGATAAACTAGGCCCCAAATAGAAATTTGAGAGATTAAAATGGGATCTGTTAATCTTGATTTAGCTTCCCTGAGGGAATGGGAAACAATTTGAGTACATTTTGATACTTCTAGGGACCTGGCTTTCAAATCCTCTGCTAAGTCCCATGTGCTGGCAGAAATAAGAAATCTTAAAAGAGCCTGATTCCTCTGGGCTCTTGTAATTCCAGGAAACTTTGAAGTCAGAAACTGGAGGTGGGAGATTGTGGGAATAGCAGAAGGTGCATGGGTCCTAGTCCTGGCTCAGCCCATGACTAACCATGTCCACATGGGATTTATCTTCTAGCTCAAGTTCCTTTTTAATGAACAAGAAGGAAAATTTAGGTATATACCCCACAGGTTAAGTTATATATATCTGTGTATGTGAAAGCTTTTTTGAGTGCATGAATTATTCTATCATTCCCTGTACAATTATGTGTGCTATTTACAATCAGTTTTCCAGTAGAAACAATTATACAATGGAATTACACGTTCCTAGGCTATTACATAGCCCATAATTAATGTGTCTGATATAGAATTCTTAAAAGGAGACAAGTACAAAAGACCTAGAGCGTTGTTTGACACTGACTGCTTTCCGAGTTCTAGTATGAACACAGCTCTTGCTGCTGGAAGTCAGCTGGATCAGGACTCCTGTCTTCCACTCTGTCATGCATCAGGGCAAGCTTCCTGAGCTATAGACTGTGCTTCTTACATTCAGAGTGTGGTGTGAGGGCCTTGGCTGGGTGGGGTGGACATAAAAGTTGGGAGGAAAACGGGGGAGATGCTGGGGATAGGGTTTTCATTTCTGTTTCTTCCCTGTGTGCCCCTCCCTTTTTCAGAAACGCAGAATCAGCAGCCTACAGATACTGGCATGGAATTTTAAGGATGGGAATACAGGGATTTGATGAATGGTGGGGGCAGCAGTGAGACAGCTTTCCCTCTCTCCCCACCATGTAGGACCTCTGAGTTGGTGATAAATGGACTGAAGGAGATTGCTTCTGACTTTTCTTACCACTTACCCCCATGTTGTACCACTCTAGCACTGGGGCAAGACGAATAACTGGGACTGGGGAAGTACTGTGTGGGAGAATAGTTGCTGGGTGGGGTTCCCCAGGAACTGAGGGCTTTTTCCAGAGAGGAAGGAAAGGTTTCCCCGGGCCTGTTTCTGATCAGTGGAGTAAGTGCTGTTAGGCTCCTTCTGCCTGCCAGGGCTGTCTGTATCTCAAAGGTCTTGATCCCCTTGTGAGGGACAAGTTCTGGTTGGGTATTCTCTACGTTTTTTTACATTCTGCCTCTGTGTAAGATCTGTGGTCACTATATCAAAGTTTGAAAGTAATTTTTTGTAAAATGTATATACTTCATCTTGGGATATACAATTAAAGCTTGAAGTGTGTTTTTTGTCTCTTTTGCAGTAAGTACAGTAATTTTTAAAACACATCTTTTAAAGTAGTCATTTTAAGATCAGATTATATGGATTCAGGGCATTTTTACACAGGGATTTATTATTTGGTTTCACAAACATACATGTGAAGACTAAGTGAAATACCAAATGAAGCTGCTGGATGATGTGGGCAAGTGGATGATCTTTGGGGTCAGAACTAGGTCCACATCCCAGCTCGGTCGCCTGCTGGCAGTGTTGTCTTAGGCAGTTTGCTTAACCTTTTCTGAGACTAATTTTCCTCATTTATAAAATAGAATTAGTAGGCTGGGCTTGGTGGCTCAGCCTGTAATCCCATGCTTTGGGAGGCCTAGGTGAGTGGATTGCCTGAGCCCACGGGTTCGAGACCCACCTGGGCAACTTGGCGAGACCTCATCTTTGCAATAAGTCAAAAATTAGCCGGGCGTGGTAGCACACGCCTGTAGTTCCAGCTACTTGGAAGGCTGAGGCAGAAGGATTGCCAGAGCCCAGCAGGTCACTGCACTCCAGTCTGGGCGACAGAGTGAGACTCCAGCTCAAAAAAAAAAAATAAAATGAAATGAAATAAAGTAAAATAGAAGTAGTAATTGCCTTCCAGGGTTATTGTATGCATTGCCATTTGGCAGGTACTTAGTTCATCATGGTTATCATCAGAGGAGTAAAAGCAGGACATTGGGTGGGTACTAGCAAAAAGTTTTTTTCTTTTAATTGGTTCTTTAACAGTGTAATTATAACATACTTTATAATTCTATTATAAAGATTTCCCCAAAAGGCCATCAGTAACATTTTTCTTTCTTTCAGAAAAAACGCCAGCTGTGGAACTAGGAGCGCAGGCCGCACGACCTCGGCAGGCACAGGAGGGATGTGGCGATTCTACACGGAAGATTCACCTGGGCTCAAGGTGTAAGTTTTGGGAACAGACCTCGTGTTTTTGTTTCGTGTCAGCAGAGCGGCAGCAGCACTGTCTGCCTCTAGTGGTCTTGCTTTGATGAGATTTACGGTTCCTAGCAGCTTCATTTGTGTCAGGTGGGCTGGGTTTGGACTTTCCATTTATCAACCAATTAGACAGTTTAGGACCTGGAATGACATCTCTTCATGGAGTGAGGGAAAGGAAGGGAAGATCTTCATGTGGCTATGTCAAAATAAATGATGGGAGCAGAGAGAACTGGAGGGAAAACTGCTTAATTAGGTGAAATTGCTCTTCATTTGGTGTTCTTGCCCCACACGGAGAAACAAGAGTAATCATTTGAATAGGAGTTGGGTGATTTTTCAAAGTTCTCCTGAGGCATAAGCTGATATTGTTACAACCTAATGGAGGTTTTCCCATTATGCTGTACCAAAAGTTCCTTGGCCTCCTTGCCTTTGGGTGGTGAATAGACCCAGGAGGATGAACATACCATTTTCCAAGTTCATAGGCCTGGGAGTGTTCATTGGGTGATGGGAAATGGGCATCCAGATGGCCCCTGTCCCCACGCCTTGCTCACCTCATTTGCCAGGGTTTCTGGTACTATGTGACAGATCTAATCCCACACGTTTCTGATTAGAGTAGGCTCCAAAACACCATGGTGTACAGCTGTTTCCTACTTAAACCATGGATGAGGAATTGAAATAATAACAGCCCTTGATGCTTTGCAGAGAACTTTCAGTGTCTATTTTTTGTTTGATTAGCCCCTTCAGAGACATTGCCATTCTCCAGATGAAGAGCTCAGGTTCAGAGAGGCAAAGTGACATGCTCGAAGACAAACAGCAAGAGATGGAACCAGATACTTTGACTGTTAAATCCCATGCTTTTTCCATACTGTCTAGTAGAAAAGAGACAAAATGGGATTTGTTTGGATTATTTTAGTTAATTTGACAAACAGCTTGACTTTGGATCACAAATTTAGTTTATGAATGCTTCCCTGGAATTCTTGAGACTTGGTTTTGTTTATTGATTTTTTTTTCCTGATTATATTGGAGACTTATGATAAAGTAAGAATGTGTTTAGGAAGTAGTTCTTGGGATTGGGGATTTGTGAGTTGGCAGCATTCTAACTGCCAAACTTCTGGTCTTTTTTAGAGGTAATTTTGCTGAGTATTTCAGAGAGAAAATTCGAACCTCTGGCTCTTCAGGGGACTTCTTTTAAGCCTTTCTCAAGAAGTTTGTCCTTAAATAAGTCTTAATTTGAAAAAATAGTTTGGTAATTGATCATTTGCACTTACAAAGTTGGAAATAAGTTTTTCTATTTTAGAAAATATTTACTACATAGACCAGTGTCTCCAAGACAGACTTTTGTTTGTATACATTTTGGTGTGATTTACCAAATGATACTTTTCTAAACACAACTGCAATGCCATCACACCCTCACAATATCCATAGCAATAATTTTGGGAATATTTTTAAATGATGTAAATAATGTTTCTGGATGAATCTTACATACCTCCTTCCTTTTCCCCTAGGCAATCTTTAGTATTACAAGTATAATAATACATTATTACTGAGAGTAAGCATGCTTTCTCTTCTTATTTCTAGTGGTCCTGTTCCAGTATTGGTTATGAGTCTTCTGTTCATCGCTTCTGTATTTATGTTGCACATTTGGGGCAAGTACACTCGTTCGTAGATTTGGTTACATCCATCTGTCATCTGAAGAAGAAGGAAAAAACCCAGCATATCTTGGACCAAAAGTATAGAGCATTTCTGTTCATGAGAAATAAATTTTCTGTAAGCTTATTCTTTTACAGGGAACTTAACGAGAATTGATTTTGAGGAATCCGTTTTTTTCTATGACTAATAAACTTTTAAATTCATTTATACTGAGTCTGGTTTCTGGTGCCTCACTCCCTAGGGCCCGTAGACTTTCTGCCTTTAGATTTATAAGTAAATGTGTTGCAAAAATGTCTTGTGGAGATCATGTTCTTTGTTGGATTGACAGTTCCTTATATGACCATGTGGTCATTCAAGTCCAAGATACTGTAATTGACCTTGGCTTATTTTCTTCGAGGTACTGCTGTCCAGGTGATTGTCTTTTTGGTTCTCTGGTCATTGAGTGTGCCTGTGACTCCGTCAGGCAGATGTGTGTCCAGAGGCAGCTGGTAACCGCGGGCAGTCAAATCAGAAACCAGAAATCTTGGATGAAATGTCTGCTCATTCTGTTCTGTCTTTGAAACCATCGGTAACATCTGTTTCTTCTTTTTCCTGGTTTTTAAGTTTTATGAGTGTAGACTAGGGCTTTCCAGCTCTTATTTCCACTTATTTCTTATTGTTAAAGCTATTCTGAAATAATTCAGTAAATTGGATTTAGGAAATAAAATTTTGTGTTCATTTTGAAAATTAAAGACCTTTCTAATCAGAGTGATATACTAGCATTTCTACACTGAGTTGATGTAAATCTAACCAAAAATAAAATTTAAATGTAGCTTCCTTATGCTGCCATACTAGGAATAGCATTCAGTTTCTGGTAGACCCTGAATACCAAGGATTGCTCAAAGGTAGCACTCTCCAGGAGCCTAGGACTCCAAGTCAGACTTTCTGAAGAGAGAGTGATCCCTGGAAATACCTTAGTTGTCCAGCAGAATCACAAAATGATGAAGGAGGTATATTCGTTTAAAAATATAATCTTAAAAACATGTTTTTCATACAATAAGTCTATTTGAAAAAATCTTTGAAGAGTTAAACTGCTTCATAAGTGTTTTTGAAAATCCTAACTATAAAGTAGTTTTAGATGCAAAGTGTGAAATTTAAATGATGAAAGTATGTATCTTTCAAAAAGATTTCCTAGGGCAATATATTGGTGAGTGTGCTCTTGTAAATCCTAACAAATGGCATTTTACTGGGAAAAAATTGATGAGAAACTAGTTTTCTTGGATCCTGTGAATTGCTTATTGCATGAAACAGGTGTCTTTATTTTTGAAATGCAGGGAAATATGTCTCAATTTCATTTGGAAGAAATTAAAGATGATAGTATCTATAATTGGTATTTTTCCTGATGTTCAGTTGATGGTACTAATAACAGCTAAGAGTTGTGCCTTGAATTTGGAAATCTGTTCCTGTGTCCCGGGGGATCTGTTTTCCTCTGGGGGAGATGCTGTGGCCACGAGGGGGAGCTGTTTGGCTGTGAGGGGTGCATTCTCTTCACACCCATCTGCCTAGCCATGGTCCCTAGTAGACTCATAGCCAAAAGTCATGAAATTTTCTGAGCTAGTGATTTATAAGATGCTAGTTTTCAGTGGCGGAACACGGAGAAGCTTCATTCAGCAGAAGAGAGAAGGAAAATCGAGGACTTGGCATAAAGATGTACAACATCTATTACGGAGCTGCTTTTGGCTCTGATGATACAATGCTAATATTGTAGCTGAGAATCTTAGTGCTCAAGCTGTTCCTTTTTTCTTTTCTTTTTTTCCAATGTATTTTATTGTAAAACACATATAACAAAATTTGCCATCTTAACCGTTTTTAAGTATATAATTCAGTGATATTAAGTACATTCATATTATGCAGCTATCACCATCATCTGCTGCCAGAACTCTTCATCCTGCAAAACTGAAACTATACCATTAAACAATAATGCTTCTTCCTCCAGCCCCTAGCAATATGTATGTCATGAGAGGAATCACACAGTATTTGTCTTTTTGTGATTGGCTTATTTCACTTAGCCTAACGTCCTCAAGATTCATTCATGCTGTAGCATATGTTAGAATTTCCTTTTTTAAGGCTGAAGAATAATTTTATTATATGTCTGTACCACATTTTGTATTCCCTTCTTTTAAAATAGGTCTCCCCAGATTGTTGTTTTCTGAGCCCTAGGAGATGAGGATTATAAGCTATTTCTAATCATTCCAAAAGCCTAACAAATTAGATCTTTGAGTTAAGGCTACCTTGGCCCAACAAATCCTGAAACTCCCTTGACTATGGCCTATAATTTTTTTTTTTAGATTGGAAAATATAGTTTATTTAGAAAGTAAATTAGAGAGAAAGCTTCATCTCTCCAAGGTAGGGGAGGGGACCAACGCTTAGGAAACATGGTGGCGGCCATAGCTCAACGAGTGCATGGCTAACTCAGCATCTAGTAAGGTAATAACTGACTATGGGCTATAATTCTAACCACTTCTGAGTAGGTACATAACCAGCACATGCTGAGTAGAAGCTCTAAGTGATTAAGCAAAACTGGAAAGATGACTTACATTGTAACTGCAGTTTGGGCTGAGCCTTTTAAGTTGCTGGGGAAAACCATGTTAGCAAAAAGGCCCAACAAGTCCTGAGACTAACGGGGGTTGGAAGGAGTAGGATCTCTGGATGTTATCTTGCACGTGGTTCAGTGAAACAGTGGGTGAGGGTAAATCTCTGCCCAGGAGAAGCTAAATACATTGTAGCGTCTTTGTTCACATCTGTCCTTCACTGTCCAGTTTTTTTCCAGGTGCCAATACTCCCACAGGAATAATTGAATAGGACATTCTGGTATCGTGTAAATATTGGCATTAAGCTAAAATAGATAAAAACACCTATAAAGCTGACTTCATTCAACAGAGTATACCATTTAGTATGTGGCGCTCCTGTGTGCCTGGAACCATGCTCTGGATTCCCATAAGCTGTCTCTCAGGAGCTCAAGGGACATTATTTTTCCCCTTAAACACTAAAGGAGGAGGGTTCAGGCCAGGGCCAAGTTTGCTTTACTATTCAGGTGTTCTGCTTGGATTTGCAAAATAACTGCGCCTACCTTGCTGCATCTTCTGGGCTCAGAAGTGTTCCTAGTTTGGGTATAACTGCTGGCTCTGCAACCAGTTGGGAGATCTTGGGCAACTCACTTCTCTGAGTCTTATTTTTCCTAGGAATATATAGGAATTATTGTACCTATAGGAATATATAGGTATGATATGTTTACGGGTTAGATGAGAAGACAGATATGAGTGCTTTGTTAACAAATGCTTATTTTCAATAATTTTAGAACAGCTTTCTATTTAATCAGCAATCTAATGAGGCGTTTGCTCTTTGTCCCTTTTACACAGGAGGAAACTGAAGCTGAAACCTCTCAACTGTTAAGTGGAAGATTTGGGATTTAACTCCAGATCTTTGACCCACTAGAGTCAATAGATGGGATTCTTGAGTATTTGGGGACAAGATGAGGGAAGGGTGGCACAACAATAGAGCTTCAATGGTAATGCTTGTAAGATTAGCACAATCCCAAGAAAGTGCCACAGTATCGTTTTGATGTACTTCAGGCATTAATTAGCTTTGGTTTGATGTTTTGGTTTCTGCAGAAGAAATTCATTTCTGTGGTGCTCTTGTGGTTATAGAAAAAGCATTCATTCAAATATTTACCGAGCACTGTGTGCCATGCCCTTTTATTGGGATTTTAAAAATGACCTGGTAAGATAGTTCATAGCTTAAATGGTCTGAGCATTTGGATACTGAGATCCTAGTCGCACTGGGGCTATAGTGATGGTGGAGAAACCAGACAGAGAGCCCTCTCAAGATTCCCTGCCATTGGTGAAATCAGTAGTAAGGACCACAGTTAAAGAACTGGTATGGTGTGTGGGCCATGGTGCCAGGGATCACAAAACTGACATTGTCCCCATGAAATTTGTACTGTATGATCACTTGTCCAACAGAGGAAAACCAGAGCCCTGAGAAGTCCTAGTGGGAAGGACTTCATTGTGTCCTTTGTACAACAGAGGAGATGGGCCTGGAGAGGGGAAGAGACTTGCCTGAGATTGTACAGCATGCTTATAGCAGAACAGAGGCCAGACCAGGCTTTCTGCTTCCAGATCATGGCTTCTTCCCAGTGTTGTACTGTGAGCCCTGTTTTGAGCCTGTGCATAAACCTGCTGACCTCTCCAGAGCATAGGCTCTGGAGACAGAGTAACTAAACACTGGGCTTTGAACAGTGGGCAGTGTTCACCAAAGGGGGAGGGGTGAAGACAACAAGGATACTAAGAAAAATAAGATGAATTATGTTAGTAAATTTAGGAGAAAGTCAACAGGTTCATAAGACTTTATGGAGAGACAAAGTAGGGAGAAGCAGCTAGCAGAAATGCAGTGTTTTACATTTTTGTGAACACAAATGTTAGGTGAGCCAAGAACATTGTGAAACTGACCAAGTAGGGTTAAGGTTTGAGTAAAGGCTAAACTGTTTGGATGCTATTCCTGGCCACTCTGGCAACTGGGTCTCTTTCCCATGCTGAAGACATTAAAGTAAAACACACAAAAAAACTACTACTCCAAGGTGCAGTCATACAGAGTCTGGATCACTCCACACCATTTTAAGGAAAGGTCTAGAAATTCATGCCCCAGAAAGCAAATGAAGATATGAAGGGGAGAATTTGAATTACATATACAATGATTTAATTAATCCTGCAAACATACATTTTTCTTCCCAGGCAATGGAGATACTAAATCCTGAGCTGCATATACCTATTGTCTTACCTGTTCTCAGTAGTACAGTTGCCAGTAAGAAAGCAGAAGCTGATTCTTCTAAGACTCTATCTCAGTTGGTTTGGGTTGTAGAATTTAGAGCAGCCTGCTGCTTCGATTAGTGGTTCTCAAACATTAGCATGCATCAGGATCACCTGGAGGGAATCTGTTGTGGCTACCTGGCAGACTTTGACAGCACCCGACTGGGAGTTTCTGCTCCCTAAAGTAGGAGTGCAAAGCTGAACTCGCCATGTGGGAACAGGGTCCCTGGGCTTGTAATTGTTTCCAGGCCTATCACCCATACAAGTGTGTTCAGTTTGTCTGCCTTTCTCATCTTTGAAGCTCTGACCGCGGTACTATTTGTTTTGCATTCCCTGCACTGTGTTTGGGGAAACTCACCCTGCCA